ATGTAAGCCAATCTAATAAACCCCTTTGTGATATATGTTCCTCCAGAGGACCCTGACTTCAACAGTCTTCTACGGAGAGCCTTGATGCTGAAGCATAGAGACAGCTGGGTGTGATGGTGGATGCTGAGACAGGGAAGTCCCCACAGTAGGCCTTGCAGACAATGTGTTCATCAGTTCAGTGAAATGGTAAGGACAACATTCCAAATTGGGGAGTACACTGTGACCTTTAGTCTTGACTGCTGCTGTGGTCTGAATGTAAAAGGTCCCCTCGCCCCCATCTTTGCATATGTTTGAACACCTGAGTCCCAGATAGTTGTGCTGTTTGAGGAGGTTGTTGGGAGACATGACGTAGTTGGAGGAAGTGTGTTGTTAGGGGGTAGGCCTTATGGATTATAGCCCGGCCCTGGTTCTAGCCCAAGGGCTCTGCTTCCTGGATATAAAGGTGATGTAACTAACTGCCTTGAACTCCTGCTGACCAAGCCTGAGCTACCTCTGCCTCCACATCTTCCTCCTCATGATGGTCTGTGTTCCTCAATCGCTGAGTCAAAAAACCCTTCCCCTCTGTGATGGCTAATATTGAATGACAACTTGACAGGATCTAGAATCACAAAGGAAATCTGTGAGAGATTTTATTTTTTAGATCAGGTTAACTGAAGTGGGCTGAATGTAGGCAGCACCATCCCCTGGGCTGGGGTCCTGGACTACATAAAAAGGAGAAAGTGAGCTGAGCACCGGCATCCACCTATCTGCTTCCTGACTGTGGATGCAGTGTGAGTAGCTGCCTCCCGCTCCTGCCACCATGACTTCCCACTGTGATTGACTGTGGCTTCAAGCTGTGAGCCAGAATATACCTGTTCTTTCCTTCAATCGCTTTTGTCAGGTATTTTATCACAGCAATGAGAAAAGTAACTAATTTAAGGGTCAGCTTGATCAGAAGGAGAATTTCCTAGGAGACTGGGAAAGTCTACCTCTGGGTATGTCTGTGAGAGTGTTTCCCCGAGAGGATTAGCTAAGGGGAAAAAGAGCCATCTAGGGTGTGGGCAGCAACATCACACAGGCTGGAGTCCCAGTTGGAACAAAGTGGTAGGGGGGAGAAAGCCTGGGATGCAGGCATGTTCTCTCATTGCTTTTTGGCCTCCAGGATGGGAGATGCTCTACCACATGCTCAGCCACATGTGTCCCCCATGATGGACTGAAACCTCTAAACCACTCTTCTTGAGGTTGTTTAATGAGGTATTTTGTCACATGAGGACTGACTAGCAGGGCCGAGTACACTGTATGCATCTTTAATACGATTTCTGCCCCTGGTCCCTTGCTTTCCTCACTACACGAAAGTGATGCTGACCCTATCCATGCATCAAATTCATACAAAGCCCAGCTGCTCCTGGCTGGGCATGCCCTTCCTTGGGGTCCCTCTGGATGCAGGCTCTGAGTCCATCATGCCACCCTCTTTCAGGGCCTAGGGTGCAGGTGAGGAAGAGGACTTCAGTGGAAGACCTGCCTTCTTCAATTCTCCTACAGGAGGCGGTGCCTGTTATACTCACATCCCATTGGCTGTGCTGGGTCACATGACATGACCACACATAGGGGAAGCTGGGAAATAGAGTTGAGCCATTCACTTCGTAAGAGCACAGCGATACTGTTCCTTTATGCTTGCTAGAAACCTTACAGCTTTCTTGTTCCCAGGGAGTTCATGCGCAACTGAGAAGCTCGTTTGCTTTCTTTCTTTTCTACCCTCCTGTTCCGAGCCTCTCTGACTCTGTCCCGCATCTCTGGCACCAAATCCTTTCCAGTTTCCGTACACAAGACCCTGAGCCCTCCTTGCTTTCCCTCCACATTTTTTGTCCTCAGTTGTGCTGCAGAGACGGAAGTATCTGACCTTAGCCACTGTTCCTCATTCTGAGCCCTGCTGCGTGCAGCCCTGGCTGGAGTCTCCTCTAGATCCACAACGCATATTTCAGCAAGAGAAAATGTGACCTTTTACCAGACACTGCAAAGGAATCCTGAGGCCCCGAGTCCCAAGCTGCTATGCCCTGAGTGCAGGCCAATGGCAGGTACAGCTCCCAAAATGCTCCTGCTTGATGCTATCTTCAAGAAAGATGTGTGTGGTCCTCTCACTTATCTCCTCCTTGGTGACCAGTGGGTTCCAGCTGCATGGATACCCAGGATAGCACAGCATCTCTGATAGCCAGTCTTCATTAAACACTGAAACGAGCCCCCTTGGCCTTGGGGACCCTTCTGTGGCCAGGGTCATTCTCCTGACTTCCCACCCACACTGTGACAGCTCTGGGTGCTACCTGGGACATCCCTGCATCCTGTATGCAAATACCACAGGAATGTCCCAGAAAAACATCTAGGTTCTACTCAGTGCCACTGGCTGGTTTACAATGACCTTTCCAAATCACCAGAGGTCCCATTCTTGCACAGTTCTGTCCTCCCAGTAGCTCAAACCACTCTGGCTGCTTAGCATCTCCACCACACTGAACTCTGTCCTCTGTCATTTCATTATCCTGGCCCTGTTGATACCCTTCTCAACCACAGCTGCTGACCTGAGGGAATTGCCAGGTTTACACTAGGGATCTTCAACATTGCAGATGGATCCTCAGCCAGCAGAGGCACAGACAGGGTACCCGAGTACCACAGGCTCTAATAATAGAACCGTGCAAGGCTCGGTGTCTAAGAGCACTGGTTGCTCTTAGAAGAGCAGTACCAAGCCCGACATGGTGGTGCATGCTTTTAATCCCAGCACTCAGGAGGCAGAGGCAAGCCAATCTCTGTGAGTTCAAGGCCAGCCTGGTCTACATAGTGAGTTCCAGGTCAGCTGGGGCTACAGGGAGACTCTGTCTCAAGAAAAGACCCCCTTCCCCCCAAAATAGAGCAGTACCAGAGAGTACCCAGGTTTGGTTCCCAGCACACACATGGTGACTAACAACTGCCCTTAACTCACAGTTCCAGGAGCTCCAACACACCCGGCTTCTGGCCTCTCTGGGCAATGAGTGACCCTTACATACATGTATGCAGAACACTCACACACATTAAAAATAAAAATAAATAAATAAACACAACCTTACACTTCATTTGAATCATCCCTGGAAGCTATATCTTATTTGGTTTTTTATTCGTTTATTTACTTATTGAGATAGGATCTCGGTAAGCCCAGGCTGGCCTTGAACTTACCACACAGAAAAGGATAACCTTGAATTTCTCATCTTCCTGCCTCTACCTCCCAAGTATTAGAGTTACAGGTACATACCACACCTGGTTATGTGGTACTGGGACAGAACCCAGGGCTTCAGCATGCCAGGTGAGCATTTTCCCAACTGTTTCACATACCCAGCCCTTTTTTATTTTGAGACAGGAACTCTAAGATTCCTAGGCTGGCCTTCAGCTCACTGTATAGCTGAGTCTGACCTTGAAATTCTGATCCTCCTGCCTGTGTGTGCCATATGCAGTGCTGGGAACAGAATCCATAATCTTATACATGTTAGGCAAGCACCCTACCAACTGCACTACCCACAGTTTATGTAAAGTGTCAGGAAGAAAGTGCCACATGAGTTTTGTAGATCTGGAGAATGGATTGTTTCCTATTCAGAACATTAGATAGGCTCTGCTCACCAGCCCACCATGGAAGTTCAGGAAGAAAGTGACAGACAGGTGGGAGGCAGGTACAGATCTCTACCCCTGCAGACACCAAGCTTCCCCTTTCTAGATAGCAAACTTCCCAGTGAGTTCATGATATGGAAAAGGTATACCCAGACAATAGCTCCAGATTCCAAGCAAGGCTTCTGGATCACAAAGGTGAGGTACGGCCTACTTGAGTAGGGAATCTCAGACCCTGTTGGACTGGACCTTCCAGTCAGCTCCAAGGAAACCCACACAGGGCTTGTATCTGAGTGGAAGGCCACACAGTCCTGGTCATTCTGAGAAATAAAATCTGATGGTTCATTTGCAAAATAAAAGTGTCTTCAGTCAATTTAGAACCAATTACAGACAAACAGAAGACACTAGACCTTGGAGCTGGAGAGATGGCTCAGAGATTATGAGCCCTTACTTCTCTTGCAGAGGACCTGGGTTTAGTTCCCAGCACCCACATGGTGGTTCAACCACTGGTAACTCCAGTTCCAGGGAATCCAATGCCCTCTTCTGGCCTTCTCGGGCATTGTATATACAGGTGCACTTATATACATGCAGACAAAACACATGCACATAAAATAAAAAATTTAAAAACACATTAGACCACTGCTAATAGCCTGATTACTACCCCCAGCCAATTCTACTAGTTTAACTACTCCATACCCAACTATAAGTTTAGAAAGATAGAAAATTAGTAATAGCCAAACTTGCCCAACAACTGATAGATGCGAGGAGGACATGTACCTGATAAGCGTTAAAATAAATAGGGTGTGAAATGTAAAGATGAACACCCATAGGAGTTAGTTAAAAATCAGACTAACATTTGCTGGGTCTGGTGGCCCACACCTTTAATCCCAGCACTCAGGAGACAGAGGCAGGTGGATCTCTGAGATTGAGGCCAGCCTAGTCTACATAGTGAGTTCCAGCTCAGCATGGCTACAGGGAGACCCTGTCTCAAAAAACAAACCAAAAAAGAAAAGGAAAAAAAGTTCCAGGTTATCCTCAGTTAATAAAGAGTTTAAGGGCAGCCAGGGCTAAAGAGTGAGACCTTGTTTCAAATTTTTAAAAAATACATAGACAAACATAAGTGCCAGAGGGCAATATTAGACTCAGATGATGTGTAAGATTGTACTCTCCTGATTTTTCAGCCAGCGAGGAAAGGGAGGGGGAGACCAGCATTAGGGCTCTAACAACTGTTCTCTGAGCTGGGTCAGCGCCTGCCATTCTTGGCAATGTCATAAAATAAACTGCCTTGATTTTGCCTCTAAGTCTCCACAGCTCCTATCTGGAGGTGAAGGTCCTGCTTCTTACAGGAATCTGATTGACTGCCAAGACTCTTGTCTGGCTGGGGGATGGTAGGAGCTTACCAGCCTCCCCAACGAAGACCTCCACAGGTGCACTGGCTGGGCTCTCACCAATGATGTTGTAGGCGGTCATGATGACCTCATAGCGCCGGTACTTCTTTAGATCTATAAGATCAAAGACACAGGGGTCAGCTGACGTCAGGACCAGCCTCTGTTTTTAGAGACTCTGGGGGAGAGAATTAGACTGTTCCAAGGAGACCAGGATGCATCTACACTCTACCACAGGGAGCCTCCCCATCCTGATGCTGCTGTCAATCAAGTGGGAAGAGTCAGGAGGGAGGGCAACAAGGTGGCCCTTCAACTTGGAGGGTATAGATTACAACAGAGACCTGCCTGCCTTGGTCTTGTAGCAACCCCAAGAAGAGCCAGGAGAGAGATCTTGTTACCTAAAAAGATAAATTAGCCAGGTGTGGTGGCACACACCTTTAATCCCAGCACTCTGAAAGCAGAGGCAGGCAGATCTCTGTGAGTCTGAAGCCATCCACATAGTGAGTGCCAGGCCTGCTGGGGTTACATAAATGCACACACACACACATACTCTGTCTCAAAAACAACAAGAGAAAATTAAACCGACATAGCTAAGCCAAGGCCCTTGAGGTATGTGTGTGTGTGTGTGCACATGTGTGTGCGTACATGTGTGTGCATGTATGTAGAGGCCAGAGGACAATCCTGAATGTTGTTGCTCAGGAATCATCTTGGACTTTGAAATAGCAGGCCCCAGGGATCCTCTGTCTCTGCCTCCCCAGTGCTGGATTACAGGCCTGCACCACCACGCCCAGCTTTTATACTTGAGTTCTGGGGACTGAACTTAGTTTCTGTGCTTTGCAAGCACTTTGCCAAATGAGCTATCTCCAAGGCTAGTCCCTTGAGTTGTGCTGATCATGTCCTGGAAAGGAAAGGGTGTGGGTAGGTGACTGGGCAGTCTAGGCTCCACCCCAAGTGACTTGGTGAGAACTGTGGGCATACACCAGGCTTTATCTCATGCCCCGCTTGGTGATTCAGACCACTTCTGTGGCCCCCGCCCCCATAGGCCCCACACCCCTGGCCTCAGGAAGTTTTTGCATAGTCTCCTACTTCTCACCATGGCTGGAGCTAAGCCGCCCTAAGAGGCTTCCTGTACACCAATGGGCCTGGCTTGCTCATATCAACCTGGGGATTGTGTGACAGCTGGATCTTTCTGGGAGGAGGCATGGGGTCAAATCCCTGGAGCAATGTCCAGCTCATGAGGAAGTGACACAGGCCAAAGTCAAAGGGGTGTGGGCCAGGTAAAAATGTGCTCTGTACAGTCCACGGAATACTATGCATTCATGAAAATGAAGGACGTTCTGAGCATGTTGCATGGATGATAAAACACAGAGCTGAGTGAAATGGGTGTCACAAAAGGACCTGCACTGTCTGAACCTGATGTATGAGGTCCCTAGAGTCCCCAGAGTCCTAGAGACAGAGAACGAAGGCTGGGAGCCAAGGGCTGGGGAGAGGGCATGGAGAGTCAGTGTTTGTTTGTTTGTTTGAGACAGGTTGTCTCAGAGCCCAGGTTGGCTTAGAACTCACTATGTAGCTGAGGATGACTTTGAACTTCTGATCCTCCTGCATCCACCTCACAAATGCTGGGATTACAGGCTTGCACCACCAAGACTAGTTTATACGCTGCTGGGGATAGAACCCAGGGCTTTATGCACATTAGGTAAGCACTTTACCAACAGATACATCCCCAGTCCACTATTTAATGGGGAGAGTTTCAATTCAGACTGTCTTAAAAATGGGTAAGATGATAAACTTTTGTTTTACATATTTTAACATGTTTATGAGAGAGACAGAGACAGACACAAAGGCAGGAGAGACAGAGAGATGTAGAAAGACAGAGAGACAGAACTAAAGAATCAGACATAGAAACAGAGAGAGGCAGAGATAGAGACACAGAGACAGAGAAAGACAGAGACAGAGCTAGAGACAGAGAGAGGGAGACAAACAAGATGGAAGATTGAAAATGGCCACAGGGCAGAGTTTGCCCTGTCTGACTTTCCCTTCCATTCCTGCCAGCTGGGGAGCTAGATACCACTACTGTGAACTCCTCCAACCTCTGCTTCTAGAAGTTTCCCTACCTGTCCCCTGATGTGTGGGCATGCTGAGATGTAGCCTCTGAGAGGGGAACTCCAGCAATTAGAGCCATTAATTCAGGCTGGTTTCATTTGGGCCACTGAGAGACATATTGGCAGGGCCGCGTCACACACCCGGTCACTGTGGCCTCCCACTGGAGGCGCTGCGCACTTACGTGTTAATTCATATGTCGTTAATGTGGAGCTGCTGTTCACGGTCTTGAAGCTGCTCTGGGCTATTAGGGGTAAGCAAGGCAGAAAGGCAGTTAGTGTGCTGGGAAAACGTTGCTGCAAATGACAAGTGGGAGGAAACCAGGCAGAGCGCATGCTGGCTGGGATGCTGTGCTGGCTCCCATGGCTTCCTGGGGGGTGTTGCAGAGATCCTAGTGCCTCCCACATGCTTTCCATCAGCTCCCAGGGGTTACCACACTTCTTCCTGACACACCAAGACACCCAGCCCGGAGACCAGTGGCAGCAGGCTCATCCTTTGATGGAAGGAAACAGATCTACAGTGCTTGGGAACCAGTGTGCCAGACATGTGGACAGCAGACAAGGCACAGACGTGGCTTCTCTCAGGCCTGTTCTGTACACAGTGCTGTCCGCTGACTGCTGCTTGGCACCCATGGGGCCCTAGTCTGAAGGGGATGAGAAAGTCATCCAAGTGTCCTGGGACAAGGTGTGTACACCTGGCCCCATTGTGGGAGCCTGTATTTTGCGAAGTCTGATCTGGCTATTATTTATTTATTTATTTATTTATTTATTTATTTATTTATTTATTTATTTATTTATTTATTTATTTATTTATACAGGATCTATCATAGTCCAGGCTCACTTAGAACTTTCTAAGTAGATGAGGATGACTTTGAATTTCTGATCCTCCTGCCTCCACCTCTGAAATGCTGGCTAGGATTACAGGCATGCACCACCATACCTAGTTTATACGCTGCTGCAGATAGAACCCAGGCCTTTATGCATATCAGGCAAGCACTTTACCAACAGATACATCCCCAGTTCACTATTTAATGGGGGAAGAGTTTCGGTTCAGACCACCGTCTTAAAAATGGGTAAGATGGTAAAGACTAGGGAGATGCCAGTCATCTGGTCATTGGCAAGGGACACCTTCAGGGTGTGGTAAGAGTGTGAGTGACCACAGAGATTCCATCATGAGCATTCTCTGGTACCATGCCTGAGAGCCCACCAATGCCAAGCATGTGTGCTCAAGTACTGCCCTCTGTCTGTGGCCCTGGTAGAGAGGATGGGGTGGAGTAGGATGCCTGTTGCATGCTGGAAGAGCCAATACTAGGTAGCTTCCTGCCCTAGTGGGTTGGAAAGTACAGGAAGGTGCCTCCCATGCATTACTCTGTCCCCAGGCAAGGTGGATTTTCTTCTTGTTGTTGTTTGTTTTTTTGTTTTGAGACAGGGTCTGTGTTGCTTGGTTTTTATCAACTTGACACACGCTAGAGTCACCTGGGAAGAGTGCACCTCACTTGGGGAATTTCCTCCATCAGATTGGCCTGTAGTCATATCTGTGGGGCATTTTCTTAATTGCTAATTGATATAGGAGGGCAGGGCCCAACCTGTAATAGTCCGAGCTCCTCCATTTTGTGTAGGTTTAACTGGTCAATCATCTGGTCATAGAACCACCCCTAGGAAGGTGGGTTATGCTAAATGGATGGGCAGAATACCTTATGCATTAATGAGATAGCGAATTTTTCCTGCCTGGAGTCCCACCTCCCAGCACAGAACTTCTGGACCAGCCACAGTCATGTAGTCTGTAGTCTGCCCGCTTTTCTGGGTTCTTTAGAAAAGCGTAATCTTTCCTTTGCTTCTCCATATCCCTTTTTAAAACATGCTTTCTTTAAGGCTCTGGGCTGCCCTAGCATCTTGGATTTCTGTACTTTCTGTACTTTCTCTAAAGCTTCCTTCTCCCAGCCATGTGGTTGCCGGTCCGCCATGTGTCTGACTCTAAACCTGCATGGCTTCATGGCTTCCTTTCCTTCTCCCCACGGTCTCCTCCTCAAGGCAGCTGCCAAGATGACCAGCTTGCCCCCCACCCCCAGAATTTTTCTTTAAAATTCTAATAAAATTGTAAAAGCTTAAATCTTGTACCAAGGACTTTACCTTTAAAAAGCCCCCCCTCCCGTCTCCTCCTAGTTAGGGTGGCCCTCCCTAAATTGGCTAAGAGAGTGCTACCCCTGGCCAGCTAGTTTCAGTTGATTTGGAACTTTTTGAGTCTGAGGGGTCCTTCCCTGTGGTCCTGAACTCCATAACAAGCCCACTGTGGGCAGTGCCATCCCTAGATGGGTGGGCCTGGGCTATATAGGAAAGATAGCTGAGCAAGCCAGTAAGCAGCGTTCCTCTATAGTTTCTGCTTCAGTTCCTGCCTCCAGGTTCCTGCTTGAGCTCCTGCCCTGGCTTCCCTTGGTGATGGGCTGTCTCCTGTAAGCCAAATTAATCTTTTCTTTCCCAAGTTGCTTTTGGTCTGTGTTTTATCACAGCAACAGAAAAGTAATACAGGGTCTCAATGTGTAGCCCTGGCTGGCCTGGAATTCCTTTTGGAGACTAGGCTAGCCTGGAACTCAAGAGACAACTGCCTGACTCTGCCTCCCTAGTGCTGGGATTAAAAGTTTGTGCAAAGTGTATTTTCTATGACATTATTTGGAGATAATCTCCTTCCAGGAAAGAGGCAGGTGGGATGTTGGGGATGGAGTTGGGGACTGGGGCCTTCTTCAGTTAAGCTGCCTCTTCAGCAGTGAACTGTTAACAGATCCAGGGGCTTTGGTGTGGTGTAGGCCCAACAGAGATCAGCCTCAGTTGAAAGGTGGCTGGAACCCTTATGTTAAAGGAGGGGAGAACCTCTACCTCAACCCCAGGCCATCTCCACACAGTGTGTCCCTGCAGAACTGGCACCTTCTTTCCAGATCCAGGCTCCAGAGTCTGCTGTCTCCACCTGTGTCCTGCCCACTTCACATTGTATTGGCCGACTCCCTCACAGGCCTCCCCCCACACTCCCCTATGGTATTTCCCAGTATGCCTTCTGTGGAACAGCCAGACACACAAGGTCACTAGTGAGTCTCCCTCAGGACTAAAGGACTTTGCTCACCTGTGAGTTCACCACGTAAAGCTGACGGACTCTTGAGTGTCTTGGCCTCAGGGCCCATGCCTGCCTCCGACTCCAGCTCCCGGTAGTAAATCCTATAGCCCTGTAAAAGGCCGTTCAGACTCTCATCCCGAGGAGGCTGCAAAGACATCACACACACTCAGCCATGCTGGGGTGTCACCAGAGTCGGTCTGTGTGAGAGACCTGGTGGTCTCTGCCCTGGTGTAACCTGCCAAACAGGCAGTTGAGTGACTGTGTGGCAGTCACTAGTTCAAGCCCTTAGTTCTTGTGATGGCTAATCTTGGTTGTCAACTTGATTGGATTTAGAACTGACTAAAATGTGAGACTTTCTTGATCATTTGAAGCTGGAAGACCCACCCAAAATGTGGGCAGAACCTTCTGGTGGCAGCCTGTATCAAGGACACAGCGGAAGGGAGCTTTCACTTTTTGTCTGCTTGTCCTCTCTCACTGGAGAGTTGATCTAACTTGCTGTGGCACTCCTCTGACGATATTAGAACCAGTTTCTTCAGGTTCCAACATAGGCTGAAGACTGGCAGGTTTCCAGAAATCCTCCAGGCCTTCAGTACCAGATTGGGACTTGTGAGAGAGCCTCAGGGACTGAGCAGTTAGTGGATTCTCAGCCTCTCCAGTGTGAGACAGTTAATTGTTGGACTACTTTAAAGTCTATCCTGTAAGTCAATATATATACATATATATGTATACGTATGTATGTATTTCATTTTATTAGTTCTGTTTCTTTAGAGAATCCTAACTCATTCAGTTCTTTACTATTATTAATTATTGTTATTATTTTACATTTATTTTGTGTGTATGTTCTTCTCTGTGTGTGCATGTATGTGTGTGAGTGTGCCACAGTATGGGTGTGGAGGTCAGAGGACAACTTGTGGGAACTGGTTCTCTCCTTCTACCATGTAGGTCCTGGGGATCTAGGTCATCAGGCTTAGAGGCAAGTGCCTTTACCCACTAAGCCATCTTACCAGCTCCAAGCCCATGGTTCTTGATTATTAAAAACAAGGGAAGAGGGCTGGAAGGATGGCTCAGTCAGTAAAGTGCTTACCTTGCAAGTGTAAGGACCTGAGTTCAATTCCCAGGGCCCATGTAAAAAGCTGGGCATAGTGGTGGGTGCTTGTCATCCCAGCACTGGGGAGGCTGCGACAGGAGGATCCCTGCAGCTTGCCTAACCTAGTTGGTAAGTCCCAGGCCAGTGAGAGACCCTGTCTCAAAATTCAAGGGAGATGGCTACTGAGGAACAACACCTGAGGTTGTCTTCTGTCCTCCACATGTAGACGAGCACCCTCATACACACACACACACACACACACACACACACACACACACACACGAGAGACAGAGACAGACACACAAAGGAAGAAATTTTGATTTTTATTTATTTTATGCTTATGAGTGTTTTGCCTGCATGCAAGTATATCATGTGTGTGCAATGCCTGAAGAGGTCAGAAGAGGGAGTCAGATCCCCTGGATCTCGAGTTAGATGGTTGTTAGTCGCCATGTGGGTGCTAACAACTGAACCCCAGTCCTCTGCAAGAGTAGCCAGGGCTCTTAACCACTGAGCCATCTCACCAGCTCCAGGTTTGAAATTATTGAAAGAGAAAAAACAGGATCTCCCAGGATTAGAGCCAGGTATAGAGCCATGCTCAGATGGCATGTGTGGAGAAACGAGTGTCTTAGCCCATGTCCAGCTTAAGTCCTCAAGGTGAGGAGGGAGAGCACAGTGTGAGTGCAGGGTGGGTCTGGGAGGGAAGCAGCTCTCTGTGGGGTGACTCTAGAAACAGTAAACAAATGGCTGAGATGCAGCCTCAACTATGACCCTTATTTGGCTTTTGTTTGTTTTTGTTTGTAGATAAAATTAGGTCAGGGGGTGAGGGCTAGAGAGCTGGTTCAGAGCTTAAGAACACCTGCTGCTCTTCCAGAGGACCCAGGTTCAGTTCCCAGCACCACCTGGCGGCTAACAACCGCCTGTAACTCCAGTTCCAGGAGATCCAATGGCCTTTTCTGGGTTCCATGGGCATTGCACACACATGGTGCATTTACATGCATGCAGGAAAAGCACTCACACACATAAAATAAACTTTAAAAAAATCTTTTTAAAGGATTAGTTAAGAGGAAATCACACTGGATTTAGGAGTGTGATTAATTTCATAGCTGGTGTCCTCATAAGGGGAGGGACATTGGACCCATACACATACAGAGAAAACTACGGTAAAGATGAAGATAGAGATTAGAGGAACACAAATGATTGTTGTCAACCACAGATGCTGGGTAAGGCCAGGAAGGGGACTTTCCTAGTGGGAGCAGTGTTCTGTTGTCATGTGTCCTTGGATTTCCGGTGTCCTGAGCTGTGAGACAATAAATCTCAGTGGCTTTGAGCTACCTGGTCTGTGGTAGTATGTGCTATCTACTCAGCCATCCTCTTGTCTCTATGATTTGAACCCAGAAATCAGAGGGATGTGCTGTTCAGACCACCTTATCTAATCTGAGTGCTTGTTGCTCAATGGGACACTAGGATGTGGAGCATGCAGGGTCCTCTGCTCTCCACCCTCCCAGCCCCAAGGCTGAATGATAGGGAAGGCAGGAAAGACTGTGTTGATGTGGCTGACAACTGCAAACACATATAAGAGGCAGGGATGACAGTGTGTGTGTCACACTGAAGATGCTGTTAGAAATGGCAGCTGTGAACACACAGGTTTCAGGAACCCCAGACCTGTGTGCAAAATGGTCAGCAGCTCCCTGTCACCCTTCTCTCTGTCCCGCAAATGCTGTAGGCATACAGCATACAGCTGCCCAACAGGATGTGTAACTGGATGCTGGGGTAGACTTTCTGGGTCTTGGTGGTCCATGTTAGAGTGGTTGACAGATCCCCAACATCTGCCAGGGATCATGGCCCCAGCTCCCAGGACTTCTGCTGCACACCACAGACCACAGAAGGGAATGCCCCTGCCTCAGCTCCAGCCTCAGACAGTGGGAAACTGGGCCCTAGTGCAGCCAGATGGCTACTTGATAAAGGACTGCTTCCCCTTTCCTCTCTCACCTTTCATTAGCTCACTGGGAACAGAGGAATCTGGGGTGGTTCTGTGGATGCCTCTGTAGGACCCTGGAAACCGTGGTCAGAACTATGAGCCACTGCCTAGGGACTGGAGTGTCACGTGAGCACCTTTGAGTTTCTGCCCATCTCTTTTAGGGTGGCCAGGTCATGCTCCTCTGTCTATAGTGGGTGGTCTGGGTGAGATGCAGTCTTGGGACCCTGGGCCAGGACTCATCCAGGTTTTATGATGTTCCCCACATGGTAGACTTTCAGAAGGACCCAGAGCCTAACTCAGTAAACTGGCAAGGATAAAGCATCCTCTAAGTTCACTGGACAGCCATTCATGGCCCTCTGGGTCACTGGCACCTGTTGTGTGGCAATGCATGGATAAGAAGCCCTTTGCCAGACAAAGGTCAGCAAGGACTTTGAAGATCCAATGGGCTTTGCTCTTCCTTTCCTAGGCTCCTGACAAAGAGACAGGAAAACATATCCCTGTTCAATAGCACTGACCAGTATGCTGGAAGCCTGCTCTTGCAGTTCAGATAACATCAGGTGGCCCTGCCAAGGGTCCCGGCACCGTCCTCACTCACCCTGGTGGGAGGTGGGGATGGCAGAGCTCCGGCTGGGCAGATGAGACAGGCACATGCTTCCATTTCTGGGATCTGGGCTGACTCAAATCAGCAAGAACAGAGGGTGAGTGGGCACATCAAAAGCTTGCTGCTGGGCTGTTTAAGTGCCAGCCTAGCAATCTCACCCCAAGGGTCACCTTCAAAGTCTGCCTGCCCGTCAGCCTGAGATTACACCAACGGGAAGATGGCAAGGCCAGGCCAACTCTGCAGAAGACACACAGGCAGGGGACACGATTAAAGCGGGGGAAGTGGGGAGGACTGGATTCTATTCACCCAAAATATCAACCGAGCAGGATGCTGGGAAAATGGAAATGACCTTGCTGGGGATCTAATGTGCGTCTGCAGCTTTGGCTGTATGCATGATTTGGGAGTTGGGAGGGGAAGAGATTGAAGTACTGAAGTGTTTCTTGTCAATTCAGAGGATGTAAGGAAAGGTCAAGCACCTTCTACCCACAGGGCAGACAGCAGACACTAAGATGGGAGTCACATCTGCTACAGGTAGCATCAGAAGTTCCAGACTATCAGAGTCCAACTGTGGCACCCTCCCAGCGGACAACTACCATAGCTCTGCTAAGGTCTGAATGAGTGTCCTTAAAGGACTCTGTGAGAGGCTTGGTCTCTGTCCTAGTTTCCTTTCTGTTGCTGTGATAAATCACTCTGATCAAAAGCAACTTAGGGGAGGAAAGGGTTTATTTGGCTTACACTGCCAAGTCATAGTCCATCATTGAGAGAAATCAGGGCAGGAACTTGAAGCACAAATTATGGAGAGGAAAGCTGCTTGTTGGGTCACTCCCAGGTTCAGGCTTAGCTAGCTTCCTTATATAGCCCAGGACTACGAGCCTCGGCAATGATGCTGCCCACAGTGGGTGGTGCACACCTACATCAATTAGCCATCAAGACAGTCCCCCAAAAGCATAGCCACAGACCATCTTGATAGACAGTGATTCAATTGAGATGCTCAAGTGATTGTAGGCTGTGTCAAGTTGACAGTTAATGATCACTAGGATGGTCCCCAAGGTGGGACCTTTAGGAGGTGAAGGCCTAGTGGGAGGAAGTTATGTGATGGGAAGGTCATGCCCTTGATGGGCACTGTGGGACGTCAACATCTTCCTCTTTCTTTGTTCCCTGGCTTTGAGGTGAGCACTTTGCCTCAGTATGTGTCCCCCACTAGAGGCTCAACTTGACCTTGGACTGGAACCTGAAAAACTCTGAATGAAATGAACCTTTTAAAATTATCTCAGGTGTTTTGTTACAGTATCAGAGTGCAGGTGTCATAAGCACAGAGGAGCAGTTTCCTATGCTCATGGACAGCTCTTGCAAAGGGGAGTATCACTCATTCAGGGCCTGCTGACTCTGCAGAGACTTAAGGACAGCGTGTGTAGTGTTCTGGATTGAGTTTAGCTTGCCTTTTACTTCTAAAGTTTGGCATCGCTGTAAATGACAGAT